GCTGGCGTTCTGGCTACTTTGGGGGGTCACGAAGAGATTCATCGCGGGCGTTGCGAGGCTGGCGTTGTCATCGTTGTATAGGAGCTTTTATTTCTTGTTCTGGCAGAGCGGCTACTTCTACTTCAACTTGAACTTGACGATGCTTGTGGACGGGTATATGTGTAATGAGACGAGAACGAAAAAAACGAGAACGATTCTGGTACGACTGACTGACTAACTGACTGACTGAGATACTCGGCTTGGCTTGGACTAACCTACGCTAACGCTATGCGGGATGGATGTTACGAAACGAGATGATACGAGATGAGATGGCACAAAACCCAAGCCCAATCCAGTAATTAATTATTATAGTATAGATGAGAAAAGTACGATTGTAATTGTCGAGTTTTTGTCACTTCTTGTGCGTCGTTTGAGGTCGAGTAAGTAAGTAATAGGTAATATAGGACATTCTCGGTTGAGGAAAGGAAATGAAATGAAATGGAACATGAGAATAATATTCATTTATATGCTTGATCCGCATCGTAATATTGCCAATTTTACTAATTTTGGTTCCTGTCCCGTATTTTCTTCACCTATCCTCAAGTTGTAGTAAATCATGTTTACCTATGTAGTATAAAACTACATTACTCAACGATCTGCTCATGGCTTTTCGGCTAACTAGTAAATGTACCATTTTTTAACCCCTGCTTAATACGAAGATTTGAAGTTCCGCTATACGTCGCGGATAAGACTTCTCCATGAGGTAAATACTAACGAGTCGATAGTAAATGTAAGTGGACATAGTCATCGATTCTCTTTAGTTACGGCTCAGATTTCCCCAGACACCTCATCTCATCCAAGTCCCCAAGCTGGACAGCCAGCGAGGCATTATTTACTAGGTTAGTTGCTTACAGTACCCAGATATGCGCACCTCTACCCCAGACAACTAAACCCATTATACCGGGATACCAATTCTTTGCAATCCTTGATATGGAACTGTATTGACCCTTTAGACTAGCACCGCTTAACTTCCAACGCGAGCTCGATTATCGACCATGAGATATCCTCTTGGAATTATTTCTATACTTTGTGCCGCATGACTATCGATTATGCGCAAACCTATTGCGCAGAGAGTTCGTTTAGTTTTGCTTTCTCGTTCTCATTTAACTGATTGTACCATTCTCCAAATCCGGCAATGTTGTCGCGCGCTGCTGCGAGGAAGAATTCTGTGAGATAAGCTTGAGTTTCATCATCCCGACGGCGCATATTGTTAGCTTCTAGGAAGCCCATTAGATCATTCTTGACACTACCAAGGTTGAGGTCTAATGTGTCTGGGTCATCCTCCCAGCCATCGTCGTCATCCTCATCAGCAAACTCTGCTGCTGCCGCCGCCGCCGCGACATTAGCAGCGCTATTCGCGCCCGATGCGGAGAGGAGTTCTTCAATTAGAACCTTAAGGATCTTTAAGGGAGCAGGGATTGCAGTATATTCGTCTGGGGCTGAGTATCAGTGAGCAATAATACGTGAGGGGTTTGGAGAAGAGACTTACTTTGCCTAGCGCGGGATCTTGTCATGATTCTATCACTTACAGGTATGATCAGGTCACCCCTTACTGTCGTCTGGAGAAGTCGGGGGTCATTCAGACTGAATAACTTGGAGAGCGCGATCACACTATTTTCAAATTAGTAAGGGCGGTGGTTTCAGTCCAATAGTCCTTCACTTACTTCTGTCTAATCTCATCGTATCCCGCAAAATTGACGGAATTTTCCAGCCACTTGCCTAAGACGACCTGTAGGCCACTCTGGCCATTGATCTGAATCGTGCTGAGGAAGTCGACAACGTCTCGGGCACCGACCAAAGAGAGTCGCGCAAAGACTAGAATAAGGGACTGGATAAACCCAGCAGCCTCGGCCGAAGCTAATCGGTTAGCAACCGCCTGTAAGAGCTGCGGTAAGAATGGACCAAGTCGCTCATGGCCTGCCTTTTCAACTAGCTCGGCTGCAAGACCACCAACTTCGGATGCCGCATTATCCTCAATAGATGGACCAAGCAATCGGTCAATGATGTGTAGGCAAACCTCAAGGCCAGATCTATTGTTCTCGTCGTGGTAGTTGAGTACCTGCTCGTGGTCATGTGCTAAGAGATATTTCACTGATTCAGCGCCTGGTCTTAGGATATCACCCTCATTACTCTCCATAAGTAATCGGCTCAGCTTAGGTAAGGTAGCCGCTACAAATCCAGGAGGTAAGGGTTCTGAGGCATATTGAGTAAGGGCAGCCATCAATTCGGTAGCAAACTTTAAGACTGGTTAGCCCTGCTGATAAACTGGACTACGGGGAAATTTGAAGTAGATTTAACATTTCGAAAAATTCGATGATGAACTACTGGCTAGGGAATCTGCTAAAACTTACCGTAATGAGTGGGTTGTCTGAAGTAATATCAGCAACGTTGAATGCGCCATTTAGTGTAGGGAGGACTTTTTGGCAAAGTGCTTGGTATAAGGCTGGGTCTGGCATTGTCTTAACGATGTCTTCGAACTCTTCGCAAATAAGCATAGTGACCTAAACGCCGGTTGGAGTTAGCACTACCAATGAATAGGATATATACTTGACAGCACGCAAAAGGGATTTAGTAATTTTACAGGGCCATTTGATACATACCTGCCAATTAGTTGAACCATGTTTAGCAATGAGGAAGAGTAAATCCAGGGCGGGAACATCGTTGGACACGGCAACTCGTTTGTCGATATTGATAGCAGCTCGGAGGGTTTCTGTAAGTGTAACAAGCAAGTCATCCGCCTGCTCAATGTCGGACATATCCCGTGCAGACATCCATTGAGAAATAGCGTTGACCACATTTGCTTGGACATGTCGGTTATCAGCAATCCTTCCACCCTGGAGAAATCCCTCGACCGCTTTTATGCATGCAACCTGCACAAGCTCGGACTGCTCCGCCGCAATAGCCTCAATTGTTCGGTTTAGGAGTGTAGCTGCTACTCCATCAAACTGAGCTAAGACGCCAGCAACCAGATATCCACGGCCGCGTAGTAGCGGTTCTCCAGGACGGTTGATGGCATAATTTACCAGTTCGAGATACGCCTGACCGATCTCTAGAGGGACGGTCTTGTTGCAGTCTAAGAAGTCATTCACAAGCTGATTAAGCAAGTATAGAGCAGCTTCCTGTCTTCTCCACGGCGCATCCTCGACAAAGAGACTCTTCGTATAAGCAAAGAGGCCTTCTAATGCCTTCTGGTTCAACCATTCACCGAGCTTGATCAGGAGGTCTCCGCAAGCAGTTCGTGGGGTGTAATTGGCGCTCACGGACTGCTCCTCTGCAAGATAGAGGGATACATCTATGTCCCATAACTCTTCCTCTTCTCTGGTGATAAGAGCATAAGAAGTAGCGAGCTTCATGATGTCCAGCACCCAAGGTGTCTCATGTGCAGAAGCGTGGGCCGCTAACTGGGCTTCTAGCTCCTTACGAACAGGTGGGGCTCGCAGGCAACCATTCAAGAAATCTAGTTCCTCTAAAATAAGGAAATCTAGGGTGTAGGGAAGGCCATCAGAGTCTTCTAGCCTGCCCTGAGCATCGTTCTTAATATATAGCTCCTCGTGCGCAGGTTCGAGGAGCATTAGTTCTTCCCAGATGGCCTGAAAGAAATGTGGCGTCTCAGGTAGCAGGAGACCTGAGAAAACGTACTTCAACTTCAGAAGACATTTCACAACCTGGAGCTTAAGGGCAATTATGCCATTCCAGGCATCAGGCTGTACAGTCGACTGAGGTTCGAGGGCAGGGAGCCTTAGCTTCATGACCTGATGAAAAAAAGGAAACCAACCCTTCATTGCCTCTTCAGCAAACGCCTGCACTTCCTTCGGGTGCTCCTCCTTGACAGTATCCATGAGGTCAAAACAACCGCGAAAGACGGAGACGGCAAGAGCGCGCAAGATGGGTTTTCGGCCTTCATTGATGGCGGCATCGTATACGACCTTAACTATATCTCGTGCCATAGAGAAGAATTGGTCATCACTGAGGCTTTCGTCAACCAAATCCCGGAGGACTATCAAAGCACCGTGGAGCTGGTTATCGTTTCCATTCGGGATTATCTCGAGCAAGGTAGGAAGAAGCGACGGCCATAATTCGGGGAAGTCGACATTAGCAATTTTGCCGACCGAATAACTAATTAAATGGTCAGTAATTGTCGAAATAGTAAGGTAAAACTAATATGCGCTGGAAAAATAGCCATTTTACAAGCATGGGTAGTAATAAGGATGTAGGACCGATGCATTTTGTTTTATAAGGCTTTCGTACCTTGCAGCCGTCTTGATCTTCCTATCATCCTCCGAATTCAAGGCAAGGTCAAGAACTAGAGGTCGAATCTGATCTTTGATAGAATCGGCGATAGGAATGGCGGGGCCATCGTCGTTCTCCCCGCTCCAGTTTCTCTCGATGAAGAGTCGCAAAGCAGATAGAGCAGCTTGTCGGATTTCTACGGCAATAGAGGTATGTCGGGCAATGTTTGCAAGAGACAGTGGAAATGCGGGATTGCTAGCTGCATGCTTCAGGTCAAGCTCTGCCTGCTTTCTAGGACCTTCGGCAGCCAACTGAGTGTTGGCGAGGACCTGGACGAGTTGGTCCTCCATTGTGGGCGGTCGAGTTTTTGTCGCCGATCCAGATAGTTCAAGCAGTTGTTGAACAAGCTCAATATTATTATGGTTGTTGGCAAACGATGTGGGGTTTCTGTGGTCGAGATAGTGGTCGAGATAGTGGCTTCGATAGTTGCCTCGACAGAAATGTTTCTATTTTATCTGAAAGCGGTCAAAATAGTTGCGGGACGAAGGTGGGACAGCCGCAGTGTGACGACGATTTAAATGGGCAGGTGTGGGCAAGCACTGGCAGCAGCAACTGCTTAATTACTTTAGCAGTCCGATATCACTATAAAAAGTTAGCGCGACGCGTTGGTAAAAAGTGGTGTTGATCCCCAAGAAAAGTTCAAGTGTGGAAAGTCCTTGGGGTCATATCACATCACATAAATACTAAACTTGCAACATCAACATTGGAGATAGGTACCTAGGTATAAAATGACTTGGATATTAGGTACATAGGGTACAAAGTATTTAAATGTACCTTCTACTTTAAATTATTTATTCGTCTAGATGGAAGTATCGATGTAGGTACAAGGTACAATACGTACCTAACCTACCTCTGTCATTAACGGAACCTAATCTGCTAATGCAGGACACTTGGTGTTACCTACCTAAGTACCTATTTTAGCCGGAACTCTCTCACCAATCAATATGAACAAACCTACCTGCTGCCACTTAACGCGTCTTAAATATTGAAATCCTACCCCTCAACGCGTCTTCTATGTACCTTAGCTAGGTACTTACCAAAACCACGGGATCTCGCGCCAAAGCCAAAGCCAAAGCCGTAAGCCTCAGAGGAGTGACGCTATATATAACTCCTTACAGCAATGGCCTCTCTACAAAGCCAGCAGCCTCACGAAGAGCAGCAATCAGTACCTCTCACCCAAGCTAACAACCTCTTAACTTCATTCACTCAGTTCCTCACAATTTGCATCCATAATATCCTCTACTACCGCTCTATCTACCCAACTCAGACATTTCTCACCAGCCGGGCATATAACCTACCGGTTCATCAGTCAAGACATCCGAAAGTATGTTCTTGGATCCGCGACGCTGTAGATGCTGTAAAGGGGCAGCTCGTCCTAGGTGTCGTGGAGCGCATTGCTATAGTCATATATGACGGACAGGCGAGAGTAATGGAGCGATGGATGTTTGATGTCGCTAATTTCCCCGCATGGAAAGGTTTCAAGGAAACGAGGGGGCCAAGAATAGAAGAAGAAGACGAACTTGTTGAAGGGGTTGTCAATGTTGAGGGCGGCGTAGAGGGAAAAGTAAATTGGGCGAACGTAGACGAACAACTACGTGCTACTGTGAGGAAGCTAGCATATGCTGCTGAAAAGATGACACCACTTCCAGATGGATGTACTTTTACTATCGCAGTGGAATTACGAGATGAAGGTGAAGCGCCAATAGGGGTGAGTGCTTATAATCAATATCCCCGCTTAAAATATCAATTAATAATAATTAACAAACATTAGCATCCGCAACCTTGGATACCCTCACAGTCAAACCTACAGACGAGATCCAGAGACAACCCAGCACCTGGCCAAGACGTTGGGGGAGCTAAGACGACTCCCCTCCGTGCAGTAGAAGCCGGACCTTTATTCTTTGAATGCTGGGTTGAAGAAGGTAAAGCCAAAGAGCAATTATCATCCCCCTCATCAAGTGAATAAAATTTACATCTCCATGCTTTACTGCAACTTGTTCAGTGTGAGCTTACGTTATTTTGGGAATGTTATATATATATTAGTATAAATAATGTGATACTGTAGTCATATCGGGATAAGTCTAGTATGTCTTCATTCTCATTTCGACAATCTCCTTGAAGCTACTAGTAATGATAGCAAGGGCTTAGAATTATACAGTCCAGTAATACAAACCCTTTTCCGTGAATGTCACCCCTTCGCCCAGACGCCTCACAAAGCCAACTCTGGCTGATCACCTAGTTTGTTGTGGTGTATTAAATGATATCTCCACCAAACCCTCCAAAGCCTCCACCAAATGGACCACTTCCTCCCCCTGGCCTGCGGCCTCCCAGCCTTGGAAGGCCTCCCGGACCTAGAGGATCATAGCGAGCTCCCGGTGGTACCTGAGGGTCAAATTCACCATTTTCACCGCCAGGGCCTCCGAATAGATCATCAAACGTTGGATGCATGCCTTGGCCTCCACCAGGTCGCGGTAGGCCCCCTCCGATGCCTAATCCGGGACGTAGCGGATCATGGGGTCCTAGCCCAGGGGGGTATAGATCATCAGCCCCGATATTCCCAAATGGGCTTCGAGCAGGCTGTCGTAGCGGCATGCCCGCTGGACGGTTTATGTCGTAAGGGTCTTCGAAGCCCGGTGGTGGGAAATCGCCAGCCGGAACCGGGTTGCGGGGCGGTGGGTTAAGGGGATCATTATACGGGTACGGCTGTGCCGGCTGGGGTAGTGGATCCGGTATTACAGGCTGTCTTGGCGGTCTTCGACCCGCATCGTCGGCATCGTCGCGCACGGCTCTGTCATCAGCAGATTCCTCGTAGCCTTCTTTCTGAAGAGAAGGAAGAAGTTTTTGAACAATGTTGATCTTGATCAGACTAGCCAGGTCCTCGATGCGGTTTCGAGAGATGAAAACATTCTGTAGGGTCTGTAGTAGGTTGGAGCGATCCTCTACGCCATCGCTAGTGATGGTTATTCTGACAGGAAGAGCCGCGTTAGAGATGAAATCCTTGATGATGACTTCGACGCGCGCAATACGTTCGTCGTTAATACCCAGACCGCGGATCTCGGCTTTGCCTCCCATTCGATCAGTTCTGATAACGAAGCGAAGGGCTGATTGCTGGTGCGCATAGACAAATGCATATGTGTTGAACGACGCATTCCAGTTTGCCGGAAGCCGCGGAGCTAGCTCATGGCACAGCGCTTCTATTAAACAATGCTTAGTATCATTTAAATCGTATAAGTTATATGTATATACTTACCTTGAAGTTTATCTTCATCGAAACCAAGGAGACGGAATCCGAGGGAAGCCATGCAGGCGTGAGAAAATAAGGCTAGAGCCTCATGGGAACTACTCAAATCAGATGTGGTATCGCCTGGGGAATGAGTAGGTAGAGCATCGGCCATCTGCTGAAGGATGACCGACGAGCTTAGAGGATTAATCAACATGATGAAGATAAGTTCATCCGACGTGTAGCTTATGGTTGAAAGTTATTGATTGAAGCTTTACATTCGATGTCGTAAGATGTGTATGTAGGAAGAATAATAGGTTTTAGTGGTAAACTGCCGATATCAGAAGAACTATTTATTACACGGATTTGCCGCTTTTTTATGTCATTACGTCGTTGCCTTCAGCCCTACGAGGTACGCAATATGTACTAAAGCGGGGTTTGGCAGGCGGGGTAGCTTTATCTTATCGGAGCTTACTCATGCTTGTATGAGGTATATTACCCCCTTAAGTACCCGAGTACCCGTTCATTCGCTATAGAACTTTCAAGAACATTTTCTTTTAGTTGTTATGAATTGTTTCTCGGTGAACTGAGCATGACTTACATTCTACTTCCTTACAGGGCCATGTTTAACGCAGAGGAGTATTACCTAGAGCCAATTAAGCTAGTATACGATCTTATCACATTTATAACCTTCTCGAACTTAAGATTTAGGAAGATGGAAGCTGCCCAAGTCGCTTTTATGTAAAAGAGCTACGTGCTTTCAAGTTATCTCGTTTCCGAAAGTAAATTAACTCTTGCAAACCTCTTTAGGAATATGCTACGAATAGAGTATTTGTCAGGGTATAAGTGAAGCTAGTATGAATTAGGTATAGATCTACATAGGATAGATATATAAGGGGGCGCTCCGCGCCCTCGCAAGAGGATAGAAGGTTAAGCGTTAATAGATTCCTACTACTACACGGCTACTATACAGCAGCTTCGCTGCTGCTTCTGATATTCACTCTACGTATGACATACATCAAGGGTTCTTTCTGACAGTATTCCAACTGAATTCGTATGACAACAATACGATAGGCACTACAGACGTAACGTTAGAAAAACATTATATAAATGCTTCGATTAGTTATTCTATGTCCAGGTATCGTGTAGCGCGGAGTGGGCGGTAGGGTCCCAGCTACTAGTGTGGTAGTGTATTGGTGACTATATTGATCCATCCCCTATTAAGAATAGGGGGGAGGGCAGAGCTTCCTTATATAGACCTGGTCTCCAAGAACTACCCTATGGGGTAGCCCTATTGTATCCTTGACATTCTAATTCGCTTTTCTATAAATACGTTTACAGTCCGAAGGACAATCATGAAATCCATTATGTTAGGTACTTACTAAGATGCTAGAGGTTCGTTTCAAGCAGTTTGCCCGCAAGTCTGCCGTAGATATGAGGTAGTATCAGCCCGAGATATCTTTCGGGTTCGCAGAAATCCTTAAAAGAATATTAGACAGTACATCCAAAGTTTACCAGCAATTTTTTTGACTAGAATATGGCAAAACATCAAGCTTTGCGAGATCCAGCTATGTTAACTGGGAATAGCATTACACCACCAAGCAATTCTATAAGATACCCCTTTACACAATTGACAACTTATAATAGCCCACAATCCTCTCTCCATGCTCAATCTGGTCAGTACGTAAAAGTCATAGATCATTCAAAATACTCTACTTACTACAAAAACTACTGCTCTATGCATTTTATTGAAGACATATGCGCCATAGATAGTATTTATCTCTGGTATTCTGCCTTCCCTATTCAGACCTTTGGCATCATAGACATAGAGCAATACGGGTACATAGTGTGTGCGTGTATAATGCTAGTGGGTATTACTATGTATCGCTAGAATGGCAAATCAACCAATCTATCTCGATATAGGGACCGTAATACTCGTTATTCGTCATAGTACCAATACAGAAAACAGCACGACCTTTTCAGCTCTCCTCAGACAACGGGAATTGCCTCTCTTGAGATTCTTCGGGTAGATCATACCAACTATTTAATATTAAGATCATCGCCGGGCTTCTAGGCCCCGGTGGTCTAGATCTGGATCTGCCTCGGTATTGCTCTTGAAGAAGACCAGCCCAAGTGATTCTTTTCCATCAAAACATCATCTCACTAAATTTTCGCCATGTCCTCGAATAGGCTACGAATCTGTCCAAGAGACTTCTCTTCCGGGGCGGTGACAAATAGTAATTGTATAAGGTACCTAGGTAGGTACTTTTATTATATATTAATTATGAAATCACATAAGTAAACCCACCTGGATACAATATGTCAACCCTATCTTTCCTCCACAGCCAACTATCAACGGAATAAACAGGTAAAAGTTTACGGATAACCGCCGATGCCACTACTGAAGCACAACTTGCCTCCTCCTATATTCTTCTGTAATTTCCCGTGTTTATAAAAAACGCCCCAGAGCGAGCTTGTGGCGTCTAGTCTCGAGTGGAGTGGCACGATACGGTGCAGTTCTACATAGTACTATTCTATGACGAGATGCTTATCTAGCTTGCGGGCTTTAGGTTAGGTATTGGTGATTATACCTCACATTAGCTCTGCCTCTAACACTGATATTTCCTACAATATGCATCATACATAGTAGATCAACAAGATCTCTACCATAAGGAGTAATTTTAGTCAAGGTTAGGCTATGATGATCTGACAACTATTGAGATATAGTATATATATGTTCGTCATATTTTCATGTTTTCGCATTGTCACAGAGTAATTAAATCGTCTATGGCCTGATTAAGGGAGTATTATACACACGTAGTCTGACGATAGATGTGATGAAATATTCTCCGTTAGGCATATTCAGTGGGCCTTTCCGGAGAGAGCATCTAGACAGACCTTATAGCATTAGTAATTCCAACGCAAGAGCAATATCTCCAAGCTTCCTCGGTTCTACCGAATGAGGGATGTAGGTCGTCGTCACCTACATAGTACCAACTAGAGCAAAATCCTATTCTTCTTTCTTCCTAAACTAAAGAAGCCAATCGTAGAAAAGACTAGATGCGAGCTACGCACAACAGCACCGACGTTAGACGCTAGTCAGGGGTAAATCGCCTAGTCCACGCTGTCGGTAATCTGCCCTAGACGATTATTGGCCGAAGCTCGATCATTTACGTCCAAGTATACAACAATTTCCACAATACTCGCCTATCTCAACCACGTGCGGAACGTAGCCGTCATCTAGCTGCTTAGTACCTGGCATATAGGTTAGTCTAAGCTACTCGATAGTCGACGACTGCGGCTTTCAGCTAGGTACCCCACAAAGCACTGACGGCTTGGTCTAGACTGTCTAGAGGCTCTGACACCTTTCGATTCTAACGGCAGCTCGTCCCTAGAGAAGTTAGCTTTCAGCCAGATGTCTGCTCTAGATTCTGCATCGGTTAAGAATACTCGTAGGAGGCTTAATTTGTCAGAAGAGAAATAAAGCTACCTCACTAGGCTACGTGATGGATAAGGATTCTAGTATCGGATTCCCCTGACGCCAGTCACATTGGAAAATGCATTCAAATAGGCTGCGGTAAGACCAGTTTCTGAATTTTGATCACCAGCCTTTGTCTCTCGTCGCTCTTTACACACTCATTTGAAGTCCTTCGTTTTACTTTGCTTACCAGTGTGTCTTCGTCAACATGAGGTTCGAGACTGTCCTTGTAGCCCTCCTTGCGAGGGAGGCTGCGGCTAGGTGTAAGTCGGTTTTCCCGTCTAACTACCCTAGTGCCGGCGCTTCAAGCTCGTCCTCGGGAGCGTCTGGATATCCGGGAGTTTCGGCTTCGTCGGGTGCTTCCTCAACGGGATCCTCGTATACCGCCACCAGCACTTCCTCCAGCGGATACTTGAGGGAATCTTCGTCTTCTTCCGGCGCTGTCTCTAGCAGCTCTGTAGGCCCGCCGAGCAGCTCCAGCTACTCCTGCTACTGACACCACCACCAACACTATCACTGCGTTGCCCACCACAACCACCGTTGCCACGCCTGCTGGTTTCACGCCTATCAAGTCTGCCCTCCCCAACGTTGTGGCCCGCACTATCAACCGTGTTCTTGCCGGCCGCACCATTACCCCTGGCTGTAATGTTGCTACTCCGGTCTTGAACGCTGGAGATGTCCAGACCTATGCTTCCGTCGTCGCCTATGGCACTACCACTCATACCACCTCCACCACCCTCACCGTTGGTCCTACCCCCACCGCCTACGCCCAGTGTGCCAGCAACAACATTGCCTCTACCCTCAACCGCCAGAGCATCAACTACCTATACGGCGCCCTCGTCGACCAGGGCACCATGTCTTCTGCCACCGACTGCTGTGTTCTCTGCGCCACTACTTCTCACTGCGGTGGTTTCGGCTACAGCAGCACCGGCAAGTGCTACATCGCCAAGGACTACCGCGTCTGCAAGGGCAGCAACCGCGTCGCGACCTTCGGCCGCATTCCTCTGGTCAGCACCAACATGGTTGTTGGCAACGGTGCCTGTGGCCAGGTTCGCAACTAAGGAAGAGCGCCTCTATACTCTCTATAGCAGAGTCTTCGCGCCTCCCCTAATATCTCGGCGGTCTGCTCTTTGGAACTCGCCGTTTCGGCTGGAGAGACAATAGGTTGGGCTGGCTGCCGGTTAATATGAGCTAATGACGATACATGTACGTGGATACTTGTGCGTGCAGCGTTAATAAGGATTGAGCGGCTTCGTTGTTAGATGTTGGGGTTGCTGGTTCAGCAGCACCATACTTAATATTCTCCGTATATAGGATTAAATTTAATAATTTACACATGTATCCCGAATAAAAATGACTTGAATAATTTCTATCTCTTATGAAAACATGAATGATAATTTGAACTTTTGAGTGTTCCATTTCAGCCGTGACAATGACTCTCAGTAAGTCATAAATCAAAATAATTATCATAAAATACAACTTAATATCACTCATCAGGGGACAATCTATTTCTTCATACTCAACATCCTATCAAGTTACCATAGTGTAAAGTTCAAATTTATATATCAAAATGTCTAAAACATCTAGTCAGCATCGAAGCTACAAGACTACGAGGCTCACGAAAGTCACCATGCACAACACGAAAAGGTCGAATACTATTTTTTGCTAGAAGTCAATGAGTCAAAGTCTATTCATGCCTACCGATCGAGTTTTATCTAGATATCATGTATGTGCTGAGGGTACGGGATGTCTAGGTACTTACTGATCTTCCACCAAACGAGCAACTAAAAGAACAAACATGTCCTCCCAATTTACCAACCCCTTTCTCAATATCATTGCCGCGCGCCGCTAACCAAATTCTCTATTCCGGGCAAGGAAAGCTTCAATTTAGGAATTTTCAGAACACCGTTTAAGGACTTAACTTGGCACCTCCCTCATCCTCCTCCTCCTCATTCTCTCCATCTCCCTCCTCCTGTCCATCCTTGCCATCATCGTCATCAACAACGTAACTAACGCAAGACTCGTACTCTCCAGAAATGCTACTAGCACAGGACTCGTAGTCGGATTCCGCGTTGATCATATTTAACTCCTCGCTGATCTCGCACAGCCCGCACATCTCGTCGGAATTTTTGCTGTAAAACGTAAACTCGATGCCCGTACGGCAGCATCCGCGGATCTTGTTCTGTCGCGCCGCGTTGCACGTGTGCCCCGAGACGCTGGTATCTTTGAGGATGGTACCGCCGCATCGGCTGCACTTGTATACCCAGCACGTACCGGTACACATCTTGGCAGGATTATCTTTAATCAGATTTTAGAATTTTGGACTTTTATCTCACCTCACTCTCACAGCTAGGACCTAAGGGGAAGATAGAAAGGTGACTAATGGCAAAAAGGGTGTTTAGCTGGCTTGGGATTGCTGATGGTGGCACTTTTCCTGGTGGATAGAAAAAAAAGGAGATACTCCAGGGGGATATTTAAATATAATCAATTGTATCCTACACACAAAGGAGATGTGTGTGAACAGAGACACGGTTATACAATACATTCATGAAACTGAAGGACAAAGACTAATGTTGGAGTAATTAATAGAAGAGCCACGAACAACATCTACAGTTGTTACGACTTAAGACAATAAGAAAAAAAACTTTGATAGCATTGTCACGGAATATAGGTCTTCGTCATTACAAGCCAATTGTAGCTAGTTCTTGTTATGAAACTCTCAATTCATTATACCTGGGCTTTGTTCCCAGTTTGAACTTCCAATGAATGCACAGCCAATCACTCGTGGCCCTGTATACAGTATTGATACATCATACATTCGCTGGAAGTAAAACACGAAGGCTCCGGACACCTTTGGGACTTTGCAGACCTTTCCCACCTTATCCAATGCACCTATAGAAAACGCCTTCCACCCTGCTACTATGTACATCTCCCCTCCTAAGAATAGGAATCGTGTTATGTTTCATGCATGAATTTTCAAGCCGTGACTTCAGTATACCATGGGTATGATATTAGAGTCATTGTGTCAGTAAGCAGCAGATGCTTACTCGTACCAAGTCGTACCAAGTCGTACCTCATACACCCTTATGTGCTAGTGAAGGACTCCAAGAAGCTTCATAGCTCCCATTAGAACACATTGTCCTTAAATAGAAATTTTGTACGGCTCTGTGTTTTATATAGAACAACCGTCTTTATCATTGTGAAACTCTTCGGCCTTGTATCGTTACCAACGACGCCTAAGTCCTATTAGCGATCAAAAATAAACGAGGAGAGCGTAGGGATAACTTACGAGTACGCCTCAAGCATAGGCTGTCGACGCTTGAATTTGGGCGTTGCATCGCTCAACTGCCTCTTTGTTGACTCCTCTCCACTATCAGTACCACTAGTTGAAGGTCGCCCCAGCCCTAGTAGTTCGCGTTCGATAGGATCAAGTGGCGATCCTTGGGATTCAGATATATCGCTTCCGAATGAGGAGCGCCGACTGGCCGGGCGGCTTCTTTTGACGCTTCTAAAACTCTGTCTGCTAGATGGCCGGCTATATGGCTGGGGTATGTCTATTGGCTGGCCTGACGGTGTTGACGGCTGCGCATCAACCTTATCTTGACTATCTGGTAGCGATAGGTTAATACGCTGGGCTACAGTTTCTTGATTTGATCCATTGGTCTTATTATTATTAAGACTTTCAGGTCGCGATTGACTATCCAGTGTTTCTCTTGCCCCCGGGGTCCATTTAGCATCATCCATAGGTACAGCCGGCGCCTTTGAGGGCGTGTAAGAAGGTTGCTGAGAATCGGACTCGACTAACTCTCCGGGTTCGGGTGGCGATGTAAGTTTCAACCTCTTGTTGAATGGATCATCATACGGAGAATCACGGTGACGCCTCTCTGACTTGAAGTCCTCGGCATCATCATGGGAATCGTTCCATCTCCTCTTCTTTTGATCTGCTTTGTAGTGTGAATCTTGATGTTTTCCCTGGTGTCGGCCTGATCCTTTTGGATTGTTGAAGCGATGTCTGCCAGTGTCGTGTGAGTTACCAGAGCGATCTCGGCGACTGCTCCTAATATTCAGGTCTTTCTGGATTGCTCTATTGTAATCATCCAACTTCTCAAGACGAATTTCCGTCGGGTCTAAAAATATAGGATGATGTTGCATTACCTGCCAATCCCGAGTTTCGCGGATGCTTTGTGCAAAATCATCAACGTTACGCGGCGTGATGTACCGCGACTTCAAAGACTTAGCGTCGAATGCTGGAGGTATCATTATATCCTCGAAGTATTGCGTCGGCAAAGGTGCTGCAATCGGGTCTACCTTGCTACTTAGCGGGAGCTCCAGAAAGATGGTCCGCTCATCCCAACTAAAATCTTCATTACTCTCATCTTTAGTTGTGTCGACGGTTGTCTCTGGGTCACCATGGTCGGACGCGGAAGCTGGTTCAGATACTATCTCGCCAGGCTCACGTTCCTGATCTGTTTTGGCCGTTATTGGCGTTTCTCTATCCAAAGAGATCCTATCGCGGCGCGCTGGTTCGCTCGGAGTCGTTGCTGGCTGGTGTTTTCGTCGGTGATGTCTGTCCCATTTGTCTGAATTCTTATAAGGCTGAAACCGGTCTTGGCGATCTTGCCGCTCTCGACGCCGCTCATCTTGAGACTTACTATGTCCCCGCCTACGAGAAGGTCGATTATCTCGGTATGAGGGTTTGCCATGCCAGTCATCACGGTATTCATCTCTATACGGTTGGCCATTTGATGGCGGTGAACCGTGCCACGCGTCTTGAGGATGCCAAGCTTCATTTGAACGCCTATCTTCATAACGGCGCTGGTGATCCCGACCGCGCTCATAGCGATTTCTATCATCTCCATATTGCGGAGGATAAGGATCGGGCGAAGGATATGGTTGAAAGATGGCCGGAGGATCGCGCTGAGGTGGGCTATACTCACTCTGATGATACCCGGGAGGCGGTCCCTGAAACCCATATGGGGTAGGCGGAGGTATGAAACTAGGCGGCGCCGCATATGGTGGTGGTGGTGGTGGAGGCCCAGGTGGATATTGCTGGTGCGCGCCGTACGGAGGACCTGGCGGACCCACGGGGTGTTGACTGGGCGGGTACTGGTCAGGCCGGCCAGGAGGACCAGGAGGACCAGGGGGGTAGTCGTTGGGGAAATACTGATTAGGACGTCCAGGAGGGGGAATATGATGATGATCAAAGGGTCCGGGAATATGGCCCGGTGGACCATACGCGGCATTGTATGCGCCTTGGTAAGCCGGAGGGTTTAATGGCTGATGAGGGCCAGGTGGCGGTGGTCCCGGAGGTCCATATCTATCATAGGGTGGGTTCGGCGGCGGATGACTTCCGAACCCCGGACCGTAAGATGGTGGCGGAGGATAGCCCGGGATTGGACCCGAATGATAGGGTTGAGGCGGAGAATTCTCGAAACGGGGCAATGGAGGTGGAGGGTGAGAAGAAGCGAGAGGAGGTGGAGGGGGATATCGCGTAATTACCGGTCCTTTACTTCGCTTGTTGGGCACGAAGCTATCATTATGAGGACTATTGCTCGACTGTTGTCGCGCCCAGGAGGCCTCTAATCCACTAACGTATTTTTAGTCGGCGTCATCGTGGATATTGAGGTGGAGGGGAAAATCAAGCGTATGATCAAGATAGAGAGCAGAGCTATGAATACTTACGCCGGTACTTTCCGAGGCTCCTCGGGACATGCAGTGAACATATGGCCCCGTATACCACAATTATAACAGGGCCGTTCGTTATGGTCTGGCACAAGACCCGGGGCAACTTGGGCCATTTTCATAGAATAATGAGAAGAAGAATCGAGAGGGACAGTCCGCTAGTGGAATGGTGTCTGCTTAATATAGAATGTAGTTGGCAACGAAGCGAAGCTGATGAATTGCCAAGCGCCTGAGCGCAACGGCAAAGAGCAAAGTTTATAAACTTCGTAAAGCGGACATGTACGTATTTACACAGATGGCGAGGCTTTGCTGTCCTTGAGGCTCTAAGAGGCTCTAGGATATAATTATCATGCTGAGATAGAAGTAAGTCTTCAACTTCATATAGTAAAGGAAACGTGAGTTTGTCGCGACAAGACCTAACATACGCGGGGCAAGAGAAATTGATAGTCGGCAATGTCATCTGAGGTCCGAGAATAGAGTCAATTAGGCGCGGCTCATGGATATAAGAGAGATATAAAGATTACGCGATGAATAGCGAGGTGTCTGATCCTGGGTATAAGTTGCCTTGTTGAGCAAAACTTATGGGATCAGCTTCTCACCGCGACAAAGCGAAGACCACCACCAATACAAGTTCCTCCACTCCGATGACGCGGAAATAATTGTTGCAAATTCATCAAGGATGCTCTGTATTTTCGATAGAACTGCAATCCAAGCTTAATATGACCAATGGAGGGAGTATTGATGCTCGATATACCCGACATAAATATCAATGGTGATGGGCTGAAAGTGAAGGTTTCACGGGTGAGATTGAAATGTTCAAAAGGAAAGGTACAATGCATCGCGGCCATTAGGTACCTAAGGTACCACCACCAAGGCGGTAGCGGTTAAACTTCGGACCGCACCGTAGACTAGAAGTACTAGGAAGAAGTACGTACGTGATTCACTTTGCTTCACGTTGCTTCACAACTTTTAGAATCCTCAGTTAGACTACGCACATAAGACACTACAAGAGAAAAAAAAGTAAAGGAGCGGATAGATGGTCATAATTTAGGATAGAGGTAATTAATCTCAGATGAGGATAAAAGAGTTCTATTGTAAGACAACAACACAGTATCATGAGGCTAGCGTTGTAGGCTCCAGGCCAGATGATATCAACCATGATAAGAAAGTCTTGATATTGAAGATATAGTATTTGATGACGACTTTACCGACGGGTAGGCCTTGATAGATAGGAAATAAAATATATATGAGCCAGCATAAGGCCCAAGCCGTTCAGGAACCAACTTCGCGTGTTCCATCCATTCCCAACACCTTAACCTGCCATAAGGTAAACTACCAATAATCATTATTCCTAATGAAGGCTTGGATGAAAAAGATCGAATACGAATTAGTATTTGGATATCAAATCGGAAAACCCAGCTCCTTGAATGATGAAAACGCAAAAGTCACCGGAGTCCAGGCCAAAAAGAAAAAGAAAAAATCAAGCAGAAAAAGAATAACAGCTGGGTATTCCACTACGAACTCCCAAAATCAAACCATATAGAGCAAATGTATCAAGTAATAAGTAGCCTGCGCAAACCAGTTGCTTTTTCTGTAGGAAAAAAAATCGCTGCGAGATACGGAAATGATTAAAAAAACCACAGGACGAAGTTGGGAAAAATGATAGGGAAGGGAAAAGAAGAGAAGTTGAAAAGTGCAGAAAATTTAATCGAACGATTTCAAGCACGGGTACCAATCTTATATATATATTGCATACAGAAGACAAGGCTTTGCATATAGACATAATATTGATATAGTAGGTTTAAGATGCACATGACAGCTACGGTATAAACCCCTAGCCCCAACAGGCTTAACCCACACAACCTGCGCGGCTCTTTTTTGCCATGGGTGCGATAAGCGATAAACGATAACGATAGCTTACCAACCAATTCGACATCGCATCCGAGACTAGCAGCTATCCCACACAGGCGCTGGTCCCACACTATCGGCTTTTGATTCAACACCAAAGGGTATGGTATGTATTCATTCCTTGCGGAGGTTTTGAAAGAGTTCGCTTTTCGTCACGTACTCTGAGCTCGAATTTCACTTTTCTTGCGCGGCAGCTCCCCCCTCCCGTCCCACGACAACTTACATTCCATCCTCTCTCTCTCTCCATGCGAGGCGCCGAATACCCTGCCTCCTCCGAATATGTTTGCGGTTTCTTCTAGCTCCCCACACGACTTTGCCTTTCCCCGGAGCAGAAGGAAGCCCGCCCCGCGCAGTCGCCCCCAAACCGCTTCTTGAGCACCGCTTTGGGTAGATAGACAGACAGACAGACAGACAGACAGACAGACAGGCATACCCGCTGTTGTTGTCTTCGAGTTGCATCTGCGTCTCTAGCCGCCCAACATGCCTGGGCTTCCAGGTTGGTCCCGCCGTACATACATACATACATACATGCATAAATGCAAGCTGAGGTTCTCGTCTGACCTGTGCGCCGCCGTATAGCTTCGGTCGATCTGGATGAATGCATATCCCGTCTGTATAAGAAAGAACTCTTGGCCGAGTCCGTAATCGAGGCGATATGTGCCAAGACGAAAGAACTGCTCATGCGAGAGAGCAACGTCGTCCATGTCAGGGCCCCCGTCACCGTCGTCGGTGATATCCACGGCCAGTTTTACGACCTCATCGAGATATTTAAAATCGGCGGTTGGTGTCCGGATACGAACTACTTATTTCTCGGTAAGTAACGCAACCGAACCGTAATAAAGTTATTGTTCTAACTATCGGGTATTGCAGGCGATTATGTAGACCGCGGCATGTTCAGCGTCGAGACTATATCTCTACTCGTGTGCCTCAAGCTTAGATACCCTAACCGCGTACACCTAATCCGAGGCAACCACGAGTCGCGCGGCGTAACACAATCTTACGGATTCTATACCGAGTGTTCGCGCAAATACGGCAACGCAAACGTCTGGCACTATTTCACAGACATGTTCGACTTCCTCACCCTCTCAGTAGTTATAAACGACCAGATCTTCTGCGTGCACGGCGGTCTCTCCCCCTCGATCCATTCCATCGACCAGATCAAAATCATCGACCGGTTCCGGGAGATACCGCACGAGGGCCCAATGGCCGACCTAGTATGGTCCGACCCAGATCCCGAGAGAGACGAATTTTCATTATCGCCCCGTGGCGCGGGCTACCAGTTCGGCGCGCGGGTAGTCAAGAAGTTCCTTGCGGTAAACGGGATGAATCATATATTACGCGCGCACCAGCTCTGCCAGGAAGGATTCCAAGTCCTCTACGACGACCAGCTGAGCACGGTGTGGAGCGCTCCCAACTACTGCTACCGGTGCGGTAATATGGCTAGCGTACTCGAAGTTAGTGATGTTGGGGAGCGTTTCTTCAACGTGTTCGCGGCCGCGCCCGAAAATGACCAACACAAGGAAATACAACAGGGAGGAGAGAAGACAGCCGACGGAAATACGCTGCCGGATTATTTCTTATAAGAATATATCGATCGGTCGGTCCGGATTTGTATAAGCAGGCTTATCAAGCAGGTGGTAGGCGTACCATAAAGATACCTCGATATATGGGTGGTAGGAAGAAGGAGAATAAGAAAATACCCCCTTTTCAACCGTCCTATTCATCTACATAGACCCCTCGCCATCAAAGGCTCGAAAGGAAGAAATCATTTTGTTGGACGTTGCATTGAAAAAAAGAACTGCGAGTTGCGGCATAATTGTTTAGTAGAGCAAAGAAAATGCTCAAGAGATGAACTATCTACACTCAACTATCCGTCCCCTATAAGCATAAAGTACTAGTCGCCAGCTAGCCGAACCGTCTAGGTCGAAGAGTACTATTCCATTGAAAACTTTTGGACGTTTTGTCTTCCCTCTATTGTCGTGGTCGTCATCATTCAGTCAGATAACACGTTTTTCCTCCGTGGAGTAGACGGTTACTGCATCTACCAGTCCTTGCTGATGTCGAAGCTCCATTCGAACTGTAGGTGAGTCTTCTTGTCGTCGTCGACGAAGCTGGAAGTGGCGTTGTAGTGGCCTCGGGCAAGCATCCCGGAAGGAGCTTCTTCCTCTTGGACTATTCAGAGGTTAGATCATCTGGAATCCTAATTTCAGATTAGGGATACTTACAACGCTTGCTGTACAGGGGCTGCTTATCTGTGTTCGGAGCATAGCTTCCCTATGATGCGTTAGTAATTGAGCAGCAAATGTTAAGTTGAGAATAGTTCTCAAAGTAGACTTACCAGCATCTCGGAATCCTTGCTGACTTTGATACCCTTGCGCTTGACGACCTGGACGTACTGGAGACCGCTGAGAATTTCGTGCTGGACTTTGAAGGTGGCGACCATGGTGAATTTGCTGCCCTCCTTAATCTTGAAGGGGTTGTCCTTGAGGGTGCTCTCGCTACCGGGAGCAGACAGGTCGATAACGACGGGAGCACGGCCGGACGACTCCATAGCTAGAGAGTGAATAATGCAAACTCGAGGGTCGTTCGGATCGGATAGATCCTTTCCGCCGCTTAGACCGAGGGATTGCTTGTAGCGCTGGAGAGATTCGTCGTTGGCATCTGTATCAAGGTTATTGAAATTAGATGAATCCTTTCTATCACTAATTTGTGACCTGGTCTGTTGGAGTGTTTGTGAAGTTGTAGTGAAGGATGGTGAAATGGGGGAGGAATTGGTTGATGAATTTATGAGTGTGATCTCCTCATCCAGCATCATGCTCGGTAGTCCTCTACATGTCATGGCCGGATCAAGTCCGCTTCCAGATGAGGATGTAGAAGAGTGTCTCGTGAACTTCAAAGTGTGCTTCTCCTTGAACCAGTTCAACAAATCCATGCGTAGACTAGGTTTTTTGTAAGACCGTGATGCACTCGCACCATCACTGGACTTGGTCGTGCTAACTTGAAGCTGGTCCTTTAGGTACTCCTTGAGGGATTGTTTGGTATGGGCATTGTCATACTCTGGAATAATGGGAGACGTAGTAACCGGTGGGCAAGGCTCCGCGAAACGGTCATCTAAGTCTTCCTCCGAAAGTCGATGGAAACCAGACGAGTATATTGTATCATGAGTTTGCTTCATGAGCGGCATCGAGACCATGCGTCGAACAAACCCAACGCGTTGAGGGGCAGCACGCCCAAGTGGTCGCGGACGGATCCCATGTGCATCCATATTGAGAGCGAATATGTTGATGCATTGGATAATGTGATTTGATTGAGGTGAGTCTTTGTTGAGATCTTGGTGTTGCTGAAAAAGGGACCTTTGGTATAGCAAACTTGTAGATAAGGGCCAGTCCGGTATGATGTGGATTGTTGAAAATTCCCATAGTCACTGTCGACGGTTGGAAATTTCTTAACAGTCAGGTGTCAAATTGACTGACTTAGGCTTCAGCCTTAGGAAGCAAACAACTCCAAGACCATGTTTCTTCTCGCGTTTTTTTAAGAGACGCGTCTAAAGTCGGTGTCGTGAACTTCGTCCTATCTCCATCCCCCTTTTTTTCACCTAGCCCTTACCAAACTCAATACCATCCCACCTATTCTGTGCCTATAAGACACAGACATCTCTGGAGTAACGTGAAGGGAATGATAGACGGGAATTATGAAGGTACGGTAAGACTAAGTAAAGAAAAAAAAGCCTTTATACATACCCATATTCTGATATTCGGCCAAGCTCTGTTTGGGCTGAGAGAGCTTGTAGCCCTGAGTCTCCTCGGGTAGGTGATCATTTTCGTCTTGAGATGCCATTTTGATGATGCTCTACTACGAAAAAGTAAGGCAAGTAAGTTACTATGAAAGAGAGAGTGTATTTCCAAGTATTGTTTTGGAAAGATGTAAATAACAATAACAGATAATGTCGACGTGTGATAAAATATTGGTTAGGAGGGGTAGACTGGCGGTGATGGCTTTGTACCTGGAGACTTTGTACCTTAGAGGGGTGTAACTAGGCTATCTGGCTACGCTATGTAAGTACTTGAAATATATGTACCTAAGTGGGATTTCTATGTCGATCTGATATAAAGAAGGTGGGTTGGACACGATGTTACAGAATTTGGGGCTTCTGGCCAATTTTGTGGCTCTTAGAAGCTGCATGTCTGCATGTGCAGCTCAAGTGCGGCGGGGCTAAAAAAAAAAAAGGGTGCACCAGTGGCTTTGAGAGGGGCTTTCCTGTCTTGTCTTGTCTTGCTCCCCTGAGGCCAGGTCTAGCCCTTGTTTCCTTTCTGAACATGCTATTGTGCTTCAAAGCCGCGCTTTGCCTAACATACGAATGCGGGATACGTGCGTTAGTGATGTTAGTGATACCCCCGTACTTGATGATGCCCGATATCAACAACTTGGAGTAGGTAAGGGTTATAATATCGGCCAAACCGGCTATGGTCAGCTATGTCAGATAATGGTACCATCGTGCTTCTTTCTCCATCCAACAGCTTCGATACGCTCACACAATAGTATGCATGTCTGCGTGGCACGTACATATGGTATATGGATCCCACTAAATATGCCATATGGTTTATTAGAAGTGAAGACCTTTTCTAAATTGCTAAGACTTTAGTTATCTATGTTGATTCTTTCACATAGGCGTGATGAATCACCAAGCTAAGAGTTACCTATGTAACCTAGTGGGGTAGAGGGTATTTAGTTAAAGGGATAGGTAATTAGGTCGTTTATAAGTTCTGCTATTTCTAACCTGACCTTAGTACTCATTATGAGTATAATAGAGATGATGATGCGGCTTAGAACTGTATAAATCTAATCGACTACCTAAGGTTTTTTAAACATACAACACAGTTTAGCCATATCTGTTCGTTGTAAGAGCAATCTAAGTTCTCTTTTATCCCTGAGCACCCAAGGGTAAGACAGGTAAATACGTGACTAGCTTGGATTTGATATAAATTGACGAACTAGGGAGCTTCCTTATTTTACATCTTTTGGTCCTCAAGCTCTCTGGTGCTTAAAATACAATACAATACACAAGCTACCACGTATCGTACAAACGGGCAAGGCAGGATCGAGTACCTACCGGTAAGGTATTACGAAATAGAGCAAACACAGTATTAACTTATACAGTATAGTATAAATGCACCGTAGAATAGCAATTTCCTCTTCGGTGATACAGTGGGTGCATCCGTATGTACCCCGTACTGGTCTTCCAGAAAAGGTGTTGGTCCGTGCCTTATTCGTACTAAGAAGGAGTTAATAGACCTTACCGCAATATACTTTTCCTATTGGATTATACTTCATAATGGTGGGTCCCCTAAACCCTTCGTGGTAATTCATCAATTCCTATTTCGCGACTGCTGGGCTAATCACCGTTGCTGACAGCAGCTCTAACTTGCAGCGCAAAGTCGAACGAAGCCCCCCCCGGCTTTCTCCCCTTCTCTTCCTCTGACCTTGTCCTTTTCCTGACAACCCGCCTCAAATTCGAGAGAGGAACCTATTTCTTTGCGCCGGGTGTTACAGCTACATCAATCTATCCCCTTAAATGTTTTCTGTGGCTAAAAATTCATAACCTATTATTTCAATTTCCAACTGGGATTTCGAATATTGGTGTAATAATAGCCTCCTCTTCCTGACGCAAGTCTGCATAACGTGAGTGAGATCCATCCTAGCGACCCGCCTATTCGACAGCCCTAAGTTCGCGCTTCTATGGCGACGACCCGCGACATCACATCGCATCGCATCGCATTTCTGCGCGACTCGATAACGAGAAATTGCTAACTTAGCAACCAGCCTCGGTTTTCATTGCCTATCTCTTTTAATACTACCCTCATTTAAATCCGATCGCTCGTCGCGGTTTTAATCGACGCGAGGCTCTATCGCATACGTTAATTTCGGTCGCGTCTTATCCAACAAATCCCAAAAAATGGCTACTCTAAGACGTCTTCCTAACAAACATAATCCTCTTATGACTGAGGACATCCCTCCTTGTATGAAGCATCGTGTCTAGGTAGTTTTTGTTAACTTGCATCGCTTACTCGTTCTACAGATCATGAGCTCGTTTCACGCCGACGCTTGGGCCAGACCCAATTGACCGCGAAGATGGTTGCAGCCGGCACCGCTGGGGATGTCGACCCTACTAGTCTTGGGGTCTTCGACTATGCGCATCTGCGAGCTCCTTTGCCGAAGGGTATCAACTCGGGTATCTTCAAGTCTTCTCCGAACTCGTATTTCCTCATGCGCCGCAGTCAGGATGGATACGTCTCTGCCACTGGTATGTTCAAGGCGACTTTCCCCTATGCTGAGGCCGTAGAAGAGGAGATGGAGCGCAAATTCATCAAGTCGCTACCTACGACGAGCCATGAGGAGACTGCTGGGAATGTTTGGATCCCTCCTGAGCAAGCCTTGGCTCTTGCCGAGGAGTATCGAATTACTCCTTGGATCTGTGCGCTCCTGGACCCGGCTGAAATCGCCATTACGAGTGCGCCTGACAGCCCTCCCAAGAAGATCGCCGCGCCACCAAAATTCGAAGCTCCTTTGCCAGCCCAGCCTCTCCTTGCACCGCCAACTCCGTCATCACTTCCCCGTAGCACGCGCAGTCGTCGCTCAGCCAGCCCTTCAAAGAAACGAGCTATCGCATCTCCGCGAAAGCGGGCTACAAAAGCCTCTACTCCTCAATTACCTGCCGAAATTCCGTCCTTGAAAGAAGAAACCGAGCCCATTACGAACGGTTCGAAGACGGACGAGGACGCCGAGTCTACTGCTGCCACTGAGGAGGTATCTATTAAGACCATCGAAAAGGAGCCCGCTATTGTCTTCGCGCCGGCTGATGAGGATGCCAAGGTGCAAATCAAGGTCGGCCAGGAAGTTGAATTCCATGGTGGTGTCGAAACGACACAAACTACTGTCGAAGTGGAAATTCCCCTCAGTGGAGAACCTGATGCTGAAGAGGCTACTCGGATGATCGAAGAGGCGAAGGAGATGGTGAGGATCGCTGCTGCCGAGACTGCAGCGTCGTCTGGCTCGAACAGCAATACGAACAAACGAAAGGCTGACGAGATCGCTGTCGATGATGATGAGGAGGAGGAAGACGAAGACGAAGCCGAAATATCAGAGGAACCGAGGTCCAAGAAAGTGAAGACGGAGGTGCAGTTGAGAAAGGAGCGTGTCAGGAACCGAGCGCTTGTCGGTCTTAGCGCGACCCTCGCAGTTGGGTAAGTTTCTGGACTATGGTCGAATTCAAACGGTCTCGTAAACTAACCATGTTCTCTAGTGCCCTAATCCCGTACGTCATGGGCGTATTCTAGCCTAGTACTGCCCTCACACGTTGAGCTCCAGGCCCTACAATTGTTTAGTCCCTTAGTATCCCCTCATATCGTCCTCACGATACCGTCTCATCTGGATCATTTTACTGGGTTTCGTTGGTGGGGGAACCTGGTTACTTGTTTGTTATTTTTGCACATACCCCCCCGGTACAGTTGGTCGGAGCTGGCTATTCAGATTCTGATTTCGCGTAGCTATATGAAATGGCTCATGTATACATCACATCCCCTTTTGGCGGTCTCTCTCGAGAAAAGAGGGATCACTCTGCTCCTACACTACAGGTCCCGAGAACTTCATAATGAAAAAGAGAAATTTCACTCGTTCACTCGTGTTTGTGACATTTTTAAGGTCGGTTCTCTGGGAGATGATGATTCAAATAGTTTGGAATAGAAATTTCCTATAGAACTACGAAGTAGCGAGGGGGGTCCTTTTAAGTGCCTAACTCAACAAAGAATCCTATCAACAAAGAAGCTTATCCTCAGTTTGACCGAATTATAGTCTTCGTGATATGGAAAGGGATGTGCCTCATCATGATAAATATCCATACTATATCTACCTACTTCCTTACATGTAGTTAAGGTAAATGTTGTACAACAACCTCTGGTGCTAAACGCGGCTCATCTGATAGTGACTTGATAATTGAACTACGAAGTAGGTATGTACCTAAGCGACTTAATGTTCCGCATTACGCCCAAAAAGGCCGACAGGGATCCACCATCTCTAGCCTGTGGCCCAAGCTTTTAAATTGTCTAAAATGAGAATAAAAATTTTCGCAATCTCATTTTATTCTCGTGATTTTTTTTCTTCCAATTTCAATTTTCATCCCCAGCAGAGGCGTAGCATTCAGACACTGAATGCTTACCAGTCGCAATTGGAGACATCTAGAGAGATGGATGTCTGTAGACCTGGTGTAATAATGGATTGAACGCATTCCCTCTCAGACGCGATGTGCGCGGCGCAGGGCTGTTTTGGCTTTTGGCCCATTGAGGTGAGGTCACTTGACCTTTTAACCTAAGATTCTGGCCGGCAATGGTCGGTTCTGCGGTCCTCGGTACCCCGCGGGTGTTCAGGGCTTTGTAGAGACATGTTGGAGAACCCGTCTCCAATTGACTTTTCTACCCGCGCCTCTTATGTCCACCGTTGTTGCAGTTGGTTGTTTTCACCTGGTGCTGGAATTGTTTTGCACACGCTACCTCTTTCCACCATGAGAGTTCACACCGTTGTTGCACGGAATGCTTTTAAAGCCCAGAGACGAGCCTTCTCGGCTTCGCCAAAACGGTTGGAGAGATATGGTTTCGTTGGGTTGGGGCAAATGGTACGTCATGAGTTGGTTGGAAAGCTTCGTTTTGGCGGCTTGTGCTATGACAGATAAACTAATGGATACGAATTTAGGGATACCAAATGGCCAAGAATTTACAGGCGAAACTCCCGCCGAGTGATTCGGTCAAGTTGTTCGATATTAACAGCGATGCGGTGAAACGCCTAGCTGAGGAGATGCGGACATCTCAGACTGGTGGCGCTGCAGTTGAACTCGCACATGATGTAAATGATGCTGCAAAGGAATCGGTATGTGTCTACTATTCCCTTCATTCTCTAAATTTCAATTTTCGTTCACATGATGATTCTGTTCTATCTATGATCTAAGTTGGGGCCGGCTTGCCGGTTCTTTTATGATTAATCCTTTTTTATAGCCAATCCTCTGAAGAACTTATTCAATATTCAACTTATTTTTAAGATCATGTTGGCTTCTGATGCTAACTGAGTCTTAATAGGATATAGTAATTACGGTGTTACCTGAGCCGGCACATGTAAAGGGCGTGTATCGAGAGATATTATCCCCGGATTTGCCAAAGAAGGACAGGATATATATCGATTGCTCAACGATTGATCCTTCGTCGTCTCGAGAGGTTGCAAGTTGGGTTACCGATGCAAACCAAGGCCAATTCGTTGATGCTCCCATGTCGGGTGGTGTAGTAGGCGCTGCGGTAGGTACTCTGACTTTCATGTTGGGTGCTCCCGATGCTCTAGTACCAAAGCTGGAACCGATATTGCTACGGATGGGAAAACGAGTACTGCACTGCGGCGCGCAAGGCAATGGGCTCAGCGCCAAGTTAGCCAATAATTATTTGCTTGCCATCAACAATATCGCAACTGCAGAAGCGATGAACCTAGGCATTAGATGGGGTCTCGATCCTAAGACGCTAGCCAATATCATCAATGTTAGCACTGGCAAATGCTGGCCAAGCGAAGTCAATAATCCGGTAAAAGGAGTTGTTGAAGGCGCACCGGCTAGCCGTGACTATTCTGGCGGGTTTGGTATTAGTCTAATGAAGAAGGATCTAAAGCTTGCCATTGTAGCTGCAAATGAAGCCAATGCGAAGTTAGAACTTGGCGATCGAGCAAGACAAGTCTACGAAGAGGCTGAGCAAGTAGAGGTATGTAAAGGCAGAGACTTCTCTGTGATATATAGATTCCTAGGCGGCAAGGAATAAGATCTAATTTGAACAATACCATCTAGTTAATCTAATCTGATCTGATCTAATTTGATAAAGTGAAGGCATTAATTATAGCTTCCTTGTAGTTATTAGATCGGCTAGCAATCGCTTATCTAAGATATCTACAAGATCAAGTCTAATGGATATTTCTTGCAGTATGATAGATCAAGGTACGCTCCGGTGCAATGACCCGGGTGGCGCCCGGAGAAGTGAACTAACGCCGTAGCGTCCCGGATGAAGCCTCTTCCGCCCAAAGATTGGGGGTCCATCGGGCCCCCTCTAATCTAATTCCACAACTCTCTTTAATGTGGTGGTGACTTGGTCATGACGATACTTACCTGGCTCTCTGCTCAATCTCACTTGTACTTTGTTTGGAGCGAATATGCCTAGTTAAGTAGGTAGTACCTACATCTATCTCTGCAAGTGTAAACGCCCATTCGACAATGCATGCTAATATGACAGCACAGGCCTTGGCCCTCGGAGCTGGGCAGGTCGTTTCGTCAGCTCGGCAGCGCAACCGAGCTGGGCATCGGCGTTCTAGAAGCCCACATGGGGGGTCTTGTCAGATCGCTTAAGCGCCACCCAGTAAACCCTACCTACCTACTAGGGGCACCTGGCAGTGGGCATCTCTTGTCCTTTTTTCCGCTTTTAGTAACCTTCTCGTTGGGTATATACCTATCCGATCAGATTCCGCACACGCTATCTTGCGTATTCGCTGTTTTTGCCCGGCTGCCAAGCTGTTAGGTAACTAACACCCACACATCCTTTGTTCCCGCTTACATACCGTACAGTACCTCGCCTCGCCTCCTCCCCCCACCGATGATGCCCGCGTTAATCAGATTGCCGTGCCCGTGGCGCGAGATAGATCGCCTGGAATATGTATTCCCACGAGGCTCCCGCGACCCTTATTTTTCTTCCTTCTGATTTTCTTTTTATATCTGTAGTGCCGCGCTGCTGGGTCGTTAACGTCAGGTTGAATCTCTTGTTCCCTGTATATACTTCGAACTTGGGTATCCTATAGTACTTTAAGCTATAGCATAGCGTCTCTCGCTAAATTTTGTTTCGTTTCGGTTTATTTATAGCTTGCCTGTTGGCGATACGTTCCGGTGATTTGGATTATCCAAGCGCTTGCTTTTCGAGATCTAGCTAGCTAGCATTCAACAAATCGAAAAAAAAAAAAAAAAAAAAACGTCAACTCAACAGCTGGACGTTGGGCGGTGGTTGCTATTATAAAGGATTTATATAGCTAGAAGGGAAGGGGGAAAAGGAAAGGAAAGAAAAGAGTTAATTCATACCGAGTTATTCCAAGGCTTGTCCAGCTCAACTTTCAAGATGTCGAATACTACGGATGCGCCGCGCCATGTGTCGTTCAGATCCTGCACTGAAGTTACCCCTTACTGCCCGGTCCAGGCTACGGTTCTGGGATACTATCCCAACCTCGGCGTCAATGCCTTTCTCGCCGCTGCGTTTGGCCTGTGCATCATAGGCCTCGTCGTCACTGGTATTTGGAAGAGGACTTGGGGTTATTCCGCTGCCCTCACCGCGGGATGTGTTCTGGAGTTCGCAGGTATGTTCTATCTATCCTGCCCTTGCTCTATGGGCTTGCTTGTCCTCAGCGCGGTGCATTGTTATGGAAGCGCACCTTTGCGTATTCTTACATCCAGGTCCAACCAGCCAGCCTCTTATATAAATACATAATATAACCTATCCATACTAACCCCCCAAACCCCAGGCTACATCGCGCGCGTCCTCCTCCACAACAACCCCTGGGACTCCAGCGCCTTCCAGACGCAAATCTGCGCCATCATCCTCGCGCCAACCCTAATCTGCATCTCCATCTACCTCACCCTCAAGCACGCCACCCTCTCCATCAACCCCGCGCTCTCGCGCCTGCGCCCCCGGCTCTACCCGCTCATCTTCGTCCCCGCCGACGTCTCCTGCCTGATCCTGCAGGCCATCGGCGGCAGCCTCGCCGCCTCCGCCGGCTACGACAACCCGCAGCTGCTGCTCTCCGGCGACCGCGTCATCATCGCCGGCATCGCCCTGCAGTCCGCCGTGCTGGCCGGCTTCGGCGCCCTGTGCCTCGATTACTACCTCCGCACCAGGAAGTGGGTGGCGGGCGGCCAGGCCACGCCCCAGGCCCTGGCTATGTGGAATGATAGCAGGTTTCGCATGTTCTGCTATGCGGTGGCGGGCGCGTACGCGGGGATTCTGATACGGTGTATCTACCGGATCGCCGAGATGGCGGGAGGATGGGGAAACAAGATCATGCAGGATGAGCCGTCGTTTATTGTGCTTGAGGGATTGTAAGTGTTATCTATCTATCTACCTATCTACCTTAACTCACCTCCCCCCTTTCCCCCCCTTCCAACCCTATTTTCTCTCTCTCTCTCTTCCCTTTCTCCCGAGAGACATCTACTAACAACACAACACAACAACAGCTGCATCCTCATCCCCGTCGTCCTCCTAACCGCCTTCCCGCCAGGCTTCCTGTTCCCGGCAATGGCCGAGCGGGAAGCCCAGCGCTTCAAGAGGAAGAACAAGGGGGAGAAGGTAGCTAGCGAGGAGCCCATCGCGTCGGGCGACGAGGGACACCAGACGGAGCAGAAGACTCTTGGCGTATAAGATGTCAATGTTTTCTTCGTTTTTATAATATATTGCTGTTCTCGTTTTAGTTGGGAATTAGACGTACGACTAGCTGCCTTTTTTGTTTCGCCCGCCTGGTTCGTTTGCTTTTTTGCATATATATAGCATGTGCGATGATATAGACACTCCTACCTACCTATTTACCTAGATATCCGCGGTTTTGCATACCCCCTTAATATTCCTTACACATATTTTTTATCCATTAGCTACGCAAAGTACCACTTTCCATTACGAATGAGACAGCAAGTCCCCGAGTCGAAAAGTGCTAGGAAACTTATGCACATTGATTCTTTGCATAGTAATCGGATATGTGGGAGATCTTTCCATTGTTCTTTCTAGGTAGGTAGACAACTAAAAAGAGATCTAGCAACGCCTGGTTCTATGTAGCCAGTCCTAATGCCCTTGGTGTCTATGCATTTCTATTTGTATAGCTCCATTCAATATGCAAAGAAGTAACAAGTTCGATGTTACCTATTAAGGAACCCTTCTAGCTCAGCTTTAGAGTTGTCGAATTCCTCATCAGTCTCTTCTTCTTCCACTTCCTCCTCCTCTTCTTCTTCCTCCTCTGATTCCTCTTCTTCTTCGCTCTCATCTTCCTCCTCGCCATCATCTTCTACCTCCTCTTCCTCGTCCTCGGCGAGCCAATCATCTAAAGTCTTGGCCCCTGTCCCTGCTGAGGTGGAGAGCCCATTGCTCCTACCTGCTTGCGCTCCCATGGAAGAATCCCCAAGCATCCGCGCCGCAGGGATAGCTCTCCTCTCTTCACTATACTCGTTCGGAACGCCATCCTGAGCCCGAAGTTTCGGGTCCGGCTCCCTGCCTTCTTCAACCCAGTCTGGTAGGGGCTCGTACCCTCGTAGGCCGTGCACTCCTCCACCTCCGGCAAGCACCAGTGCCGAAGATCCTAGTAAGAACCCTTTCCGTGTCTCTGACGGACTTGGCGCTTGAGGTGCGGGTTTCGGCGCAAGTAGCATTAGCGTCGCTAATTGAGGCACGCTCAGCAACGCTTTATATAAGCGTGTGCGGTCGCGCAAATCGTATGACGTATCGTAACGCACAAGTAGGAGGACATAATTCCATAATCGGGCTATAGGATGATCCTCTGAGTTGGGTGGAGGATCGTTGTTCTGCTCGTCCGACTTTTGCGCTTCCGTTGTCCTGTTGAGATGGTGTAGGTAGACTTTCGCTGCGAGGAGGACGATCTGCCGCTTAGCGATCTCGGATTCTTCCGCGAATGCTTTCAGAAGTATTCGCAGCACGTCAGCCGCGATGTTGTCCTCGCCGTTTAGACCAGCAAATTCGCCCACGAGCCAGATGATGGTTGCGCGAGCTTGCGGGTCGGTCGCGGAATCGAGGTTCTTCGCCAGGCGCACAACGGTTCCCATATGCGCTTGAGGTTCTTGTTGGATAAGGTGACGGATTACCGTGAGGGACTCGGCAGCTAGCGTGCCGTCAAGACTCGTTATTTGCCCCAGTAGTAGTCGCATACATCGGGGTGCGGTCGCCGGATCTGCTTGCGCGCATCGGCCAATAGCTCGCACTGCTTCGCGAACAAGCGACTTATTCGTCCCGCGAGAGAAGTGTTCGAGTTCATTAAGGATGAGGCTCTTCGTTTGTAAGGGGCTGTGGGGGAATATTAGTGCGAGTACCTCGAGCTTCAGCTCCCACACTGGAGTTGTGTCGGTAGCGCGAACGAGAAAGTGGGAGGCGTATTTAACGAATGGCTCTGGGTGCGCAAGACAGACAGATACTATATTATATAGAGCGACTTGCTGAATGTCCTGTGCTCCCCGTAAAAGAGCGACTAACGGACCGACCGAGGTTTTAGTATATTCAGGTGTACCTAAGTCCGCATAACAACGAGCCACAGCTACCACCACACCTGAGTTTCTACTTTGTAGAAGTGGTTTGATTCCATTAAGTAATAGGACAAGATCCGGATCGAGAATGACTACCCGTTCCCCTTCTGAGGCAGGTTCCGATTCACCCTCCCCATAGAAGTCTTGGAGATTGTCCGATTTGTCTTTTGATCTGGCAGCCTTCGTCCGCCTTGGGAAGCACTTCCGCGCGTATATGGACATCATTCTTAGCACTGCCAGCTGACTCCACTCGTCCATATCTACAATCTTCTTGACGAGACTCCTGTAGTGCTTGTGGATTAGGTCAACCCTGTCGGGACATATTTCCATGTAAGCGCTGACCGCGGCACCGGCGACAAAGTACTGCTTGTCGCCTAGGAGCGTTGTCAGGTATTCTAGTAGCTGGGGTAGGGTGCTCGGTTCTAGACGGTAACATTTCGGTATGGCGAGAGCGGCAGCCTTGCGCACATGAGGGGACATGTCGACTACCCCCTTTTTGATAGCTAAGGATACAATCTGACTGATGACAGGGACTCGAATGCCGGACATGGTTCGTAGGGCGAGTGCTCGTACTTGGGGATTCGAGTCTGATAGAGACTTTTGGATTGTATTAATGGACAAGAGGGCCATATCTGGTTCTTGTTCGGCATGGTGTATAAGGTATATGTATACAAGTTTCTTGATTTCGAGGTTCGGTGATGCGACATTCTTGACGATGGAAGAGAAGAATGGGAGCGTCTTCTGCTGACGGTACATCATCTAGTTAAGTAGGATCGATCAGTCGGCGTGTTCCAGTAGTCGGCAAAGGGGGATAAAGCATGCGTACAGAAATAACACGTCGCAGTCCATCGAGCACTTCACGGTCATTTCGGCTGTCGAGAAGCTTCTTTAGTTGCGCCGTCGGTAGAGATCGTGTGGTACTACGAGAGCTCCGGGCCGCTTGGGCCGCATCGAGAGTGAGCTCCCGAGCTACGGGAGAGGGAGGTCAGTCTACCTCGGTCAAGCCATGTCAAGCTATCCTTAGAAGAGAATATGGGGATTCTCACCGCTCTCAAGTAAATTAGATATTCGAGAGATAGACTCCATAGCGTAGTTGAGGAGGCGCAGACAAGCTCGTAAGCTGTTGCGTCGGTTGCCGTGTTCTTAGGTGTGTGACGTCGGTGGAAGAGAGCTAAGTTCAGTTGCAGCAGTGTTGAACTTTTGGCGGGGCTTTTCCCCGGTGACTTTTTATGGGGCTACCTTCAAACTTACATTATGGGGCTGGGGGGGTCTATTGACATGATGTCAGCAATAGTGATAAGGTGTGGACATAATGTCGGCTATGTAACAGTCAGGAATCAGTCCCCTAGCTAATTGGCTATCCCTTTTAATATAGTCACCCTCGGGGGTGATTGCATCTAAATTATAAGGATAACCAGGTCTGAAATAGCTACCGTACGTACACGATTATATTTCGTCGTAATTGTATTGCGTTTAAAATACCGATATATTGGGAAAGGGTGGCCTATTAGACATCGTCACCAACGGTAGTCACGGTCACCTAATCGACATATGTCACGTATAAGACTATGTCAGGCCAGGTCATTGTCACCACCCCAGGGCCTAATAATATTAAAAAAAATTAAAAGAATAGAAGGCCTTGTAATCTAATAAAGGGCCTTAAAGAGATATATATATATATATATTACAGCATAGGCACATGCAAAAGTCAATTGAAAAGGTTATTAAAAGGATTACTTGAACTACTATTACGAGATTACGGGCTACGTGTTTTACCATTACACTACGAGGTTATCACGATTAAAGTTTACCGTATTGCAGTATATATGCATACTCCAGGCCCTTATTTAACCTGTATATACCCGGGGCTGACATTGTATTAAATCTCTGACATCGTGTTGAATTCCTGACATCGTTGTTGTCAGGGTATTATGGGTCAGGGGTAGCTACAGGGGTCTATCGACTATATAAGAGGCGCGAAGCGCCCTCGTAAGAGGATAGAAGGCCAGGCGTTACAAGATCAATACTATTATTACTTGGTCTACCTATCCTAGACACTCACTCTGTGTATGACATTAATCAACGGGTATAAATCCTGACAGTTGTGGACATAGTGGCTATTTGGACATCGTCAACAGGCCTGGTAATTACGTCGAAATAAACAGTACCTCTGACATAATAAATACCTTAACATACTATCTATTAGTACTGAATTATAAGTACCTGCAATGGAATCGGTACAACAAGCCTTGCAGACATTATATTGACCTATTGACACGGTCTTGACATAGTATCGGGGCCTGTAATTATGTAATTATACTGACACCATTGCTGACATAATGTCAATAGACCCCCCCAGCCCCATAATGTAGTTCTACACTACCTAACCTAGGTATATTAGGTTGGACTTACATAGCACCTGGGCCACTTATACGGACATGACAGTCAAGCTTAGTACATGTATTTATGTAATTTGAATATTCATCGTTGATATTCTTGTAATGGCCGTTATGAAGTCACAATATTCATGTCTTCGGCACCCTTTCTACTCCTCTCCCCGGCACTACCTTCTGAACTTCTCACTTATATCTTAACCCACCACGTCCATCCAACTACTCTGGTTATATGTTCTTCCCGCTCAGAATTCCTTGCGTCTCTCTCGGACGATGTGCTTCAAGGGACAGCTCATCCGGATGAGGTAGCTTCTGTTGAGCATTCAGTGGAAACTTCAACATCTGGTGCTGCGCCAGAGATCCAAGATATCAAACAAGAGCAGGCCAGACAACAACAACACCGGCTTCTCTCCTCTCCGCTGTACCAAATAGCCACATCGCGGCACATCCGTGTCGTCTACATCCCTACAGTCACGCATCTCCGCGCATACTTGTCCGTCTTCTCACCGGATGACTCCAAAGTCCCAATTCCGCCCGCCGGCTTCAACTCTTCAGGGAAGTGCACACCGTGTATAATTCTATACGGGTTCCTAGAGATGCATCGCGACACGAGCGAATGGAGCGCGCAAGGTCTCGGTAACTCTGCATCCGCGCTAGTAGAGCTGGGTTACCGGTTATCGTGGCAGATGATCGTTATTGAGCCCCGGAAGCGTAGCTCTGCATCTTCGTTTGAGGACTCGCTAAGAGAAAACGTTCCCTTTTTAAGTGGCGGTGGGAGGAGACTAGGTCCCGACGCGGAGGCTGGCGGTTGGACTGGTCGGACTGTAGAAGTCGGAAGAGTCATGAAGAGGTGGTTTGATTTCCAACTTGGGGAATGGGATACAAACTTGGATGAAAACAAGTAGACGCCAATAAAACATGGTGGACTTTATAAATAATATGGTATCTCTTCAGATGCCTAAAACACAAGTTACAATGGTAATAAGCCCTATATGCACTTTTCCGGTCCTGGCCGGTATGCAACACCTTAACGCCAGCCGTGGTATCATCCTTTCATGGTCTCGTTATCGGTAAAAAGGTGAGAGACAATGGTCAGATGGAGACGGCCTGCTCCATCTCTGTAATGTACAGCTTGATGTGTGACTCCATCTTCAGATACTCATCATATGCGCTGTGAACCTCTCTCTCAATGTTCTCTTTGAGATCCAGCATCTATCTTATAGTTAGTACCAAGTATAGGGTAGCCGAGGGGGATAATCTGAGTATACGTACCTTCTTCTCAGTTTGCTCAATGCGGACCCTCCTTCTTTCGATCTCCGTGCCCTTCGTCGCTCGCTCCTCTGTCAACTTCTTGTGTAATGCTCGGAGCTCTTCCATCTTCTCCTTGGCTTCCTGGGCTTTCTCTCGACTGTGTTCGCGGAGTTTTTCTGTACGCTCGTTCCACTTGCTTAACTGCCTCTGTAGCAATGCCTCTGTTCTCTCCACTTCCTTGACGTTGTTGCCACGTTCTGATAACGCATCTCGTTGCTTCGCGTTTCTAGCATTTTCCTCTTCTTCCTTGGCCAGTTCCGTTGAGATCTCATCGAGAAGTTTGATACAGGATGCAACATCCGTCGCCACAACACCGAAGGAATCCGTCGACGTCTGTAATGCTCTTGCTCGTCGATCCAGAGAATCTATATGGGCTTTATCTGTGTTGAGAGTATTGCTGAGCTCCGCTAAACTTGTTTGTAACGCTTGGGGACTTTGTAGTGTGTATGGTCGTAGCTTGGCGCTCTCCTGCTTGAGCAGCATCTTCTCAGTTGTTTTTTGCTCGAGTCGTTGTGCCAACTCTCCCTTCTTTGCCTTCGCCTCTTCTAACCGAACCGCGACCTTTTCTTGGTTCCGCCGTAGCTCCAACAACGTCTTCTTTAGTTCCTCATTACGTTCCGTCTTTTCGCGGACTTGGACTTCCATCGCCTTCCGGTTATGTCGCATCTCCTCCAATCTGGCTTCCAAGTCCTGGTTCTCGCCATATAGCGTCTCGATCCGCGTTTTAGTCTGTTCGGCCTTATTGAAATGTTCGTCAATGACATTAGTCTGACTTTCGCGGAACCGAACGAAGTTTATCAAGTAACTAAAGATCTTGACGAGTCGCGGATGTGTGGGTTTATATAGATCGCTAAAACTGAAGTCGGTAATACCGCACTCGAGAAGTAGCTTGCGCAGCGATACGTAAAAGCCCAGTAGGTTGCGAGTGTCGGGAGGCACAATATCGGTGAATTCGCCGCATACATCCTCAGCCGCAGCGCGCATCGCCGGTTCGACGGTATCACGGGTCGCATTCAAAAGCAGTTCAGCGAACCACTCGAAGATCATTTGTACTTGTAACGGGTTCGGCTTCTGCAGGTCGGCAACAGTAAAGGGGATCCCGATGTCTGTTATGCAACCGACGATCTCTCTGTCCGGCAACCGCATAAAGGCGTCGGCTTCCTCCTCCTTCTTGCGCGTGCGCGACTGGTTTTGCGTCGGCGGTATTATCGACATTCGCGGGTTATACGCCATGGTCACGGTATTGGATATTTACGATCTTCGAGGGGGTTTTAAAGTTCGTATGTCCTATAGTATCAGAGTGTCTAGTATCAAAGCAGAAACACTATTTTTGAAATTATTCCGAATCGTTGAATTGTCGAGCTAGGTGATGGAGTGGAAAAGGCTTTAGAGATATGTTTGTTTTGATACGGTTGCTATGTGGGTCGAGCAGCTAAGATACCCATGAGACAGATTGTTTAGACGCAAATAATCAGTATAACGATACATTATGAAGTAGTTACCCCGATAACGAAGCTTGTATAGCCACTAATAAATCTCCAAATTATATGGTTCTTCTGCCTCCTTCACTTTATTTAGACGACTTAGAACCAATACAACTACACGACCACCGATACCAAATGACACGCGTGGATGTCAATTTATTAGCATCGATCAAGTTTTTTATTTACATGTAGTTGTATCTTATCTTATCCATGTTCCAACGTGCCATCATCTCAAACATACCTCACATTTTCAATCAAATGAGTTTCTATGACAAGCACATCTTATATCCGTACAAATAGGGGCGCATCACCGCTGGCCGCTCACTAAACAACCTTATTTCTGACGACTTACACGAGCACCATTACGATACCCAAGCAAGCACAATATATGACTCAATTAAATTAAAGACAGACGTGAAGATTTTTATTGTTCTTAAACTAAAGGCCTATCGCCTATCGCCTATACTTTCTGCTTTTATATGCGGTATGCATACATAAGTCATCCTAATCGTTACCATTGGCGAGGTCGTATGGAAACTAGATCGCCAGAGGACTAGGCTTCTCAGCTCGGTGAACCCGATGGCGACTTGCGAGGCCTGGCCAGGGATCTTTTATCTTTGCTTGTCATCATATTTTGAAATTCATGCGTCCTCAGGATTAGATGTTTGCAATGATATAAATGTCAAACGTCGAGCATAGGCCATATGCTTCGCATTTTATTTCATAAACTGAGATGGCCTAGTTAGCTATGTAAGGGCATTGTTGAGACGACGTTCAACATCTCATTGGCCAATTCCGCGTCTGATTTTGTGGGCAGTTCGTGAAGCATCTTAGCTATCTAAGATATAAACCACCTACATACCGCATCCGTAGCGGTCACCTCATTGCAATGAGCGAATGAGAAATAAGCCCAGACCTAGCGGTCACCGTAGATCTCCGCGAGCCGCAAGGTGAAATTTATATACCTACACCAATGCGAGGACGGGAGGGCGCGGGAAGATCGGGGAAGTTGTCTATGTAAGACTCGAAAGGGGACGGCGGAGTGGGTGGTATGATATTACCAACTAACAAGGAAACTTTTATGTAACAGTACCATTCTTGGTGGGCTCGTATGACATACGAACTCTTTATTAATGAATTATAATGGAATTGTCGTTATCTTTCCCCAGACTTTCCCGCCATATAATTGACAAGACTTAGACGGGATTCCTCTGCCGTTCCCAGTTTTTTTTCAACCTTCTTTCGACGTCAAAAGAGAGTCTCGAGCATAAGGCAGAGGAGACGGCTATATCTTTAAAGAGTCCTGTTAATAAGTTAGCTCCGATTCGCTGTTCATACTAAGAACTATACTGTAATTAGAGATGAGGAGGTCGTCCATGACCCTCACGCCACAGAATGCAGATGACAGCTGCCTCATAAATCAAACTGTCCCGACGGGAGTCATGTCACTTCCGTCGGAGTACCTTGACGAAAAGAAGCAACTTCCCAATACCAATTCCATATCTAATTCCGGCGAGGACCTGGAGAGCCAGAAGGGGCGTTCCCGTTCCATCGAGGATGCAGCTGCGGCATCGCCGTCGTCTTTATCGTTAGATAGGGGCGACAGTGACGACGACGATGATTTCCCTGAAGGTGGCCTGGCGGCCTGGCTCGTAGTTATTGGCTCCTTCTGCTCCATGCTTTGTTTGTATGGTCTCATTAACTCGGTTGGCGCTTTTGAATCGTACTTCTCAACACACCAGCTCGCCGGCTACAGCCCCTCGACCGTCGGCTGGGTCTTTAGCGTATATCTATTCATCGTCTTTTTCTTTGGTATCCAGGTCGGTCCTATTTTTGACAGGTACGGTCCCAGGCTACTTGTCGCCGTCGGTAGCTTGTTAGTTATCGCCAGTCAGCTCATCCTAGGGTTATGTGAAGGTAAGCACCCTATTTAGGACCCCCTATGTTTATCATATATCTATTAGTAAAACATGTGCTAAATAATTGAAAATAGAATACTACCAGATCCTCCTCACATACGCGGTCCTCGGGGGTATAGGGGGTGCTCTTCTCAACGTGCCTGCCTATGGAGTGATAGCACACTTCTTCAAGAGGCGTCGCGGCTTGGCTGTTGGTGTCGCTGCGACAGCGGGTTCTGTCGGCGGACTTGTGTTCCCCCTCTACCTCCAAGCTGTCATTCCAAAGCTTGGCTTTGCATGGAGTACGAGAATCATCGGTTTCATACTGCTGTTCCTATCAGTCATAGCTAACCTCCTCGTGCGCTCCCGCCTCCCCCCAAGTACCCACCCAATACGAATCTTACCGGATTGGACCCTCTTCAAGGATGTCAAGTTCACTCTATGTTGCATCGGCGTCTGGTTTATGGAGTGGGGGATCTTTACCCCATTGACGTACATAGTTTCGTACGCCGCAGCTCATGGCCAAGATGCCAACGATGCATACACCTTCCTCGCGATTCTTAACGCTGGGTCATTCTTCGGTCGCTTCCTCCCCGGATTCCTAGCGGACCGCTTTGGTCGCTTTAATGTCATTACAATAACAAACGCGCTGTGTGTCGTCACTATCCTCGCTTTCTGGCTTCCCGCCGGTGATTCGCGTGCCTTGCTCATCGTTTTTGCCGTCACCTTCGGGTTTGCTTCCGGAAGCAACCTGGGTTTGTACCCCGTGTGTATCGGACAGCTTTGCGACGCCCGCGATTATGGCCGTGTTTACTCTACGGCGGTTATGGTCGGCAGTTTCGGTACCCTAACCGCCCTCCCCATCGCTGGTGCACTTTTGGAGATCAGCAGCGACGAGCGTCAAGGCTGGCTGGCGCTGATTCTCTTTGCAGCGCTGTCGTATGCTATCTCAACGAGCTGTTTCCTTGGAGCTCGCGTATTGGCTGTTAGTTGGAGAGTGAAAGAAGTCTATTGATGCTCTGGTACCAGTTTCGCTGTGGCCTGAGGACAGAATTAAAGGGAACATGCAAATGAGTAGCGGGTTTATCGGCATATTAAATTGGGCGCTTCGGGTAGATCGATGGAAAACAGCACTGGGTTTTAGATCCGGAGTTATGTGCGAGATCGGTCCTATTCAAGCATATTCCATCGCCGCGCGTGCGTAAAATTGTGTCTATAGATTCGAATCCTTAGTATATCTTGTTACCCTAAGGTATAAGACTACCTAAAAATTTAACAAACAGTAGTATAACATAATCTAAAATTACCCAATATTACACCATATTGTACATATATTGGCGTAAGGCAGGCCAAAAATGTCCACGC